ATACTGAATTAAATACATATTCTATATTTATTGATGGTAAAGTTAATAATTTAAATAAAGATGCTCTTATTCAAATAGGAAAAGGAAAGTTTTTATCTGACGGTTCTACATTATTTACTTTTACTGAAGAAATTACAGAATGTTTTGAATTAGTAAGTTCATTACAAGAATTAAGTAATTCAATTAATTCAGATAAAATAAATCAAGAAGGAAAGAAATATATTAATGTTCAAGTAATAGATAAGATTGTAAGAGTTTGTCCATATGAAAAAATAGATAAACAAGTAAAATGTGATGTAATAGAAAATACATTCAAAACATTTAATTATGAACAATGTCCATGTAATGGAGAATATTGTTATTTTTATTTAGATAATTTAAAATATAATTCTTTATATTTAGATGAAACAAATAAAATTACTGGTAATATTGTTTTATCAAAAAATTTTACTATTAATTCTATTAGAGGAGAAGCTTTTATTTATAATATTCTTTTTGATGACACTTATTCTAATTATTTTATTTCTATTAATGGTAATTGTATTTTATCTTATACTTCTCATATTCCTCAAACCTTTATTTTAAATGGAAAATTAACATTCTCTAAAACAACTTCTGCTCATATTATTTCAAATACAAATAGAAGTTCTATTGTTTTTCAAAATGAACCTTCTTATCTTAAATTAGATGCTTATGTTAGTACTTCTGTTGAAATGATAAATGGAATAGTTCAAATGGGAAATAGAAGATTAAATGATATGAATGGTATAATTATTTCAAATTCATATAAAGGTTGTTTAATTGGTTATTTTGAAGAACATAAATTTTCTTGTATTACTTGTTCTGATGGTCTGTTTACAAATAATTGTTCTTCTTCTACTAATGTTTTATATTGTCAATCTTATAATTCATTAAATCAATGTATTGAATGTGTTAATGGTTATTTTCTTAGTGATAAGTGTTTACCTTGTTCATCTAATTGTAATAAATGTATTAATAATAATCAATGTTTACAATGTAAAGATGGATATAAATTGTCAGATGGTCAGTGTAAAGAAGAAACTGCTTCTGATTGTTTACTTTATTATAATAATAAGTGTGTTAAATGTGAGGAAGGTAAATATTCTATCGATAATATTAATTGTAAAGGGAATTGTGGAGAGAATTGTGTTCAATGTTATAAAAGTGATAATGATAAAAGTAAATGTACTATATGTGAAGATGGATTTGTTTTATTTAATAATGAATGTTTAAATACTTCTGATGTTAGTAATTCACAATATTTTAATTCAATTATAGGTAATACTGGTGTAGAATGTAAATCAGGTTATGTTCTTGTTGATGGATCATGTCAAAGTTGTTCTTCATATCATCATGATGAAGATTGTAATGCATGTGACTTAAATCAATGTCTAAGTTGTAAAAATAAGTTATTATTAAATGGTGTTTGTACAGTAAGTTCGGACAATTGTAACAATATAACAAATTCAAAATGTTTCTTATGTAAAGAACAGTATTACAAAAAAGAAAATTGTCAAGAATGTGGGCAAGGTTGTAAAGTATGCGATGAAACAGGAACATGTCTTGAGTGTATTAATGAATCAGCTTTATTAAAAGGAGGGATATGTGAAGATAAAGAAACTATTAAAACTCAATCTATAACAGAAAATGAATTTGATATAACATCAGAAGAATGTGAGATTATTCATTATGGTTCATGTTTACGATGTAAAGACGGATATTATGCATCAAATGGAATATGTAAAAAATGTGATGAGAATTGTGGTTCATGTGTAATCAATTCAACGTATTGTATGTCATGTAAGGGTAATGCAATTTTATCCAATCATACATGTTTTAATGATTATAAATCACTAAGTACATCATGTGAACTTCAAATAAAGAATGGGTTAGGATGTATAATTTGTAATGATGGGTATTATAAAAAAGATTCTATTTGCTTTGGTTGTGAAGACCCAATGGAAACATGTATAACCAAAGATATAGCAACTAGTTGTAAAAAAGGATATTTTCTTGATAATGGAAAATGTATTAATCAAAATGAATTAAAGAATTGTAAAGTTAAAACATCACTAGGATGTAGTCAGTGTGAAAAAGGATATTATGTTGATAATTTATATTGTAGTAAATGTGAAGAACATTGTAAATTATGTACTAATACATATTGTGATGTATGTGAAGAGAATTATATTATTATAGATGGAACATGTTATTATTTTAGAGCAATAAATAAATGTGAATCATCTGATGGAATAAAATGTACTAAATGTAGTTCAGGATATACTCCAAAAGGGAAATATTGTGCAAAGAAGAATTTATGGTATGTTTGGGTTATTATTGTAGTAGTAATAATACTTATTATTTCATTTATTATTCTTGGAATAGTTTATAAAAGAATTCATCATAAGATTAAGAAAACAGATTTTAATGTTAAAAGTATTGATTCAATTTGTCAAACAACTGATTTGGTATTTTGTTCACCACATATTTTAACAGATAAACCAGTAATAGAATTTTATGGAGACGATGAACTAAAAGTAAAACAAACAAAAGAAGTAACATTTTATATTGCTAATGCTGGAAAATCAAAAATTAAAATTCAACCAACAATTATGGAAAATGAAAAATATGAATTTACTATTGAACCAGAAGTAGTTGTTTTAAGAAGTCAAGAAGTAGTTGTATTTAAAGCAGAAATTACACCATTATGTTCAACGCAAATAGATGACAAAATAATATTTCATTCATATGACATTAAAAAAGATGTTATGACTGAATTTTCAATTGGATTAGAATTTATAACAGAACAAACAAATATTATTGATTATGATGAATTAATATTTGATAAAAAATTAGGTGAAGGTGGGTTTGGAATTGTTTATAAAGGAATATTTAGAGAAAATGAAGTTGCAATAAAAGTATTAAAAGATACTGAAATGACTGAGAATTCAATGGAAGAATTTAAAGTAGAAGTTGATATGTTAGATAAATTTAGATGTGAATATATTGTTCAATTTTATGGTGCTTGTTTTATTCCTACTAAAACCTGTATGGTAACAGAATATGCAAAATATGGTTCATTGCATAAATGGATTAAAAATAAAAAGAAAGTTAGTCATTATTTAAAAATTAAGTTTTGTTTAGATGCTGCAAAAGCTATTGAATATCTTCATTCAAATGGTATTTTACATCGTGATATTAAACCTGATAATATGTTAGTCTTTTCTTTTGCTGAACAAGTTGGAGTTAATTTAAAACTTACTGATTTTGGAAGTGCAAGAAGTATTAATCGTTTAATGACTAATATGACTTTTACTAAAGGAATTGGAACTCCGGTTTATATGGCTCCTGAAGTTTTACAACAACAACGATATAAAACAACTGCTGATATTTATTCATTTGGTATTTCAATATATGAAATTTTATCATGGGAAGAAGCTTATCCTACATCTGACCCTCGTTTTGTATATCCTTGGAGAATTGCAGAGTTTGTAATAAATGGTAAAAGACTCGAAAAACCTACAAAGTTACCTGATATTGAATATCGTATTATCACTGATTGTTGGAAAGGTAAAAGTGATGATAGAATACGTGCATGTGATGCTATATCTCGTTTAGAGAAATTACTTATTAAAAATTAATTTTTTTATTTATATCAAAGTAGTTTTGTTATTTTTTTATTAGTTGGAAGTACTTGAGATAGAAATAAAGAATGTTGAAGAAACTGATTCGTTCACTTCTCAATATGTTGAAAATATAAAGATGGGTTTATCATAATTGATTCATTTGCTTTTAAAGTAACTTCTCTTTCATAAGTTAAATTATTAGAGTAAAAAGAATATGAATAAAATGATATTTTCTCTAAGAATGATGATAAGTCATTGTTGAACTAGTTAGTATTGATTCGTTAGATTATACAGTCATTACACTTATCTTTAAATGAAACGATAACATTAGTTGATTTTTAATTATTTTGATAGAGAAAGACATATGAAGTTTATCTACATTAAAAATAAGTTAGTGAATAATAATTTGAGTATTTTTAACAAATGAAATTATGTTTTTAAATGAGTCTTTAATACTATCATTGTGTATTGAGAAAAATGAGTATGTCATTATATCACAATTTGTGTAAACAATATTAAGTATATTCTATCAATTAAAAAATACTATAAAATAATATTTAACTGAATTAATAAATAAGAAGGATAATATTGATTTGTAATTAATTAGAGTTGAATAAATGTCAAGACATTCATAACAAAGTGATTGATATGAGAAGTAATATCAAATTAACCAGAACCAGCAATAAAACCTCCATTTATTATAACCAACATATAATAAATGAATAGAAATGATTATCAATAATAATAACATAAACAATTCAACATAAACAATATCTCTGACATTAACAACAAGACTCTGAACATTGACAAATGAATATAATTCAAAGTGAATGTTATAGAAATGTTATAGAAATTTCAAAAAAGTACTAACATACTCAAACCATAACAAAAATACAGTATTTAATAACTTCTTATGACAAAAATACACATTCTATTCTCTGTATGAGAATATAAAAAGAATGAATTGGTATTGATAAAATTACATATTCATAGAGTCACATTGCCTTTGTAAGTAATGAATAATGCACAAAACATAAAATATCAAATATTCCAACAAACTCAATAAATGAAAATAGTCATGACTTTCTTCTAAATTGAATTTTATGTAACAATAACAACTGTATGTTTGAAAAACATAAATAGTCATTGATAAATAACAGTCATTAGTTTTACTGATTATATAGTCTATAATACTTCAATGTATTTTATGTAAAAGTAATGAAAAGAAATAAAGTTAAATATTCATTATTATGTTGAGTTATTATAATTGTTTTGTGTCATGGTTAGAGTCATGAAAATGAAATACAAAGTATGTTTGATGAATCAAACAATTAAACAATTAAGTAGTCAATTCTCCATTTACTCCCAAACTTCAGAATCATCACCATCATTATCTGTAGCATCATAATTTGAATTTGCTCTCATTGTTTTCAACTTTAACATCAGTGCTTCCATCAAATCATTTCCACCAGTTGACGTAGATTTCTTTGGATCAGAATTATTACCTACTTTAGGCGATGATTTATCTACTGTTTCTACTTTCTTCAATTTTTTTCCTTGTCTAATTTGTTCCAATAATCCACCCATTCCACCACATTGAATTGCAGACTTTGCTTCCGGAGTAATGTCTTTTGGTTGTGGTGTATTTGGTATTGTACTTGGTGGAGGTGGAACAATTTGTGGAGGTTGTTGTATTGAAGTAGTTATTTGAGGAGGAGGTGGTGGTGGATTGAACGAAGAGGATGGCTGGGAGATAGATAGAGATGGAGGAGGTGGTGGGATAGATAAAGGTGTATTTGACTCAATGTCTTCATCATCCGAGTCATTGTCTAAATCAATATCAGGTAAATCAACTGAAGGAGCAATGGAGAGAAGAGGAGAAGAGCCTCTGAAAGATAATTCAGCGATATTTGATAATTTAGGAAGATTACTAGGTAAAGAAAGTTCAGGGAGTTTGTCTAGAGTTGGTCTATAACCAAACCCATCATCAGTTTGAATAGCATTAAATTCATTTAATTCACTTAAACTGTCATTTTGTTCTTCTTTCGTTTCATTTTTTAAAACAGAAGAAGAAATTGAATGAAGTTTTTTAGTATTATCGCAATTAGAATAATCAGCATAAACATTTACTCCACTATTAAATAATAACAAACTTCCTATTGATTGAATTTGAGTTGGAACAAGAAAATGAGTAGATTCTTTTTGAATTAATGGATTATTAATTGAATATTTACTCAATGAAACAAGTATTTTGTTTTGATTCAATTGCATTGGTTTTGAAGGAATATTTTGTTTGTATTGAATTTGAATTTGTGGAGGTTCAAGTAGTTTAATAGGTGTAATAATCAAATTTGGAGATTTATTTGGAGTAAAAACAGTAATTGCCTTTGGACTTCCAGTAATTTCTTTTAACTTATTCTGAATTTTTGTTGTTCGTTGTTGTAATGATTCAATACGCTGTTTAACCAAAGTGATTTGATTATTAATTGAATTGTTAATATTTTGTGAAATGACATTAATTTGGTTAATAGATTCAATCATTCTTTGTTGTTGTTCAATTTCTTTATTATCAGCATAAACTAAAGGAATAGAAGAGTTACAATTCATAGGAAATGAAGTAAATAAGTTTTGTTTTTTGTTAAATTTGAAAAAAAAAAAAAAGAAATAAAAAACAATAAATAAAAAAAAACAAATTTATTAAACAAAAAGATAAATGAAAATAAAAATGATGTTTTATTTAATTCAATTGAAATCAAGAGAACCAGAGAAAACTGGTAATTGATATTCTAACGTAGAATTCTTAAATAATTCTTTATCATTAAACTTTGAATGATCAAATTTAATATCAACAGATGAAAACACATAAGTATCATGTCCTCCAATTGGATGTCTTAAATCATGTTCTAAGAATGTGTCATATGACATAAAATAATACCCACAATGTTCTGTATTTAAGAAATTAGACAAATCTTTTGGAGTAAATAATCTTTCCATAAATTGCCATGTTGTATAATTTGTTTGAACTCTTTCTACATTTGCTTCATTACCTTGTGTCCATCTTAACAGATGGAAAATAGCATATCCATCTGATCCTTTAGGATATTCTACATATGGTTTATATGATGACCCATCAGTTTCATGAGTCATTTCAAGTGCATAATAATAACTTCTTCCTTCATCATTTCCACATGGTTCATATCCATAATCATTTGCTCTTAATTTTGTTGTTTCTGTAATTGAATTAGCTCCTGCACAAACAAGTACTGTTGCTCCATGATTAGCAATTCCAACAAAGGTACGTGTGATATTTGGACACATTTCACTATCTTGATTCGTTTTAAAACATTCATAATTCATTGGAATCCATTTATTTATTGAATTATATGTTGGACATATTTGATCTTCATTAAATAATGAATGATTACCCATAAAATATCCCATAGAATGTCCTGATTGTAATGTCCATGAATTTTTAATGATAAATCCTCCTCCAAGATAATCATCATTCCATCCAACAATATTCATTGCATGTCCTCCTCTATTTGTTGGTTCTCCTTGTAATTTAAAAATACCATCATATCCAAAACTTAATGTTGATACTTTACTACAAAATCCATTTTCACATGGATATTTATGTAACATACAATCTTCATTATTTATGAATGGTGATTTCGAATCACATGGATATAAATATGTTCTTCCTAACGTGGCATGACCCCATCCAACAGGTCCTTGAGTATCATAAATCATTTCTTTAATACTTTGAGGAGTATATTTACTTTTTAAACTATTAACTTGAATATTAAATGGTGAATGTTTTGTTGGATTCTTTAAATCAACTCCATCACATTCCCAATCTCCTTTTCCTCTACGAACAGTATATGGACAAACTTCATTAGGATAAAAGAATTCGGAATTATATTTTCTAAAATAATACACCCATTCAATCTCTCCATCATCAGTTTTTCCTTTTCCCATTCCTCCATCTTCACAAAATGTTTTAATATCATCAGGAACTGCTTCATATGTTCCATTACATAATTGTAACATTAATTTACCATATGCTTGTTCACTTAATGCAATATATTCATTTGGTCTAATTGATCCATTTTCTATTGCAATCTTACGTAATGATGACTCAATTAAACTGATTGTTGCAAATATCCAACATGTACCTCTAGCTAATTGTCCTTTAACTGGAGTGATTCTATTTTCAGGAATAACATATGCTGAAGGTAAACTTGGACTATTAACCACAGTATAATTAATTTCTCCTAATTTTGTGGATAAAATAATTAATGTAGTAACAGTCAATGCCAATGTTATTAATGACATTACTGTTAATATTGTATATAATGACCATAACCATTTTTGTTTCACTGGTTTGTCTTCTTTCATTTCTCCATCATTAATCAGAGGGTCTTCAATTTCACTTGTTGATGGCATTGATTCAATTATCCTTTTGTAGTTCTTTTAATTCTTTTTTATTCTTTTCTTTCTTTTTCTCTCTCCTTTTTATTATTCTTTTATTATTCTTTTATTACTTTTTTTATTATTTGTCTTCTAATTGAAATACCTCTGGAACAAACTCCATTAACTACCATTCCTTATTCTCCAATTTGAAAATTGTTCATCTTATCTTGTGTTGTATCATCCAAATTTATAAACCTTATGTATTTCTGCTAAAACATGAATGTACAAAATTTAATTAGATTTTTTAAACTCTTCTTTTACATTATCTTCAATTGTTTAGGTGGTTTAGAAATAATCACCAAATGATAATCAATTCATTTTGTCTTTAATTTTATTCATTGTCAATTCTTTTCATCGTTATACCTTAGAAAATATTATTTCAACCAAAATGTTGTTTGACAGTTTTGATTCTTTCATTAATATTTCATTTATAATATTGTAATATATTATTTCAACATTGCTGTTTATAATCAAAACTCTTTTTGGGTTTTCACTCTTCTTTATATCTATTAACTGATGACTTAGTAATAGTTACATTTTTTAATACATTATACGATTATTTTAAGTTTTTGATACATTTTGTCTCATTGGTTGTTACTTTGTTTAAATGTCATTTTCTATTTTGTTAATCTTTACACGCATATCCAAACACTGTCTGATTTATGTGTGTTAATACATAGTTTTCCTATATAACAAATTATAGTTTAGTTCCAGGATATTTAGGCTTAAAAGAAATGATAACAATAAATCGTTAATATTTAGTATTTCATAATCAATTCTGTAATTGAATTGCATTTTCTCTTTGTCTGTAATGTCTGTTTCTAAAACATATGTAGATAATGTATGGTTGTATTATTATGAAATACTATTAAACGATAATAAAAATAATAGACGCATTGAATATTAAGATGACAATTGAAGGATTATGGTTGTTTCTGATATAATCGTTTCAAGAAGCAAAACAACTTTTTGAAATGACTAACAGCATTTATCCAACTTATTGACAGGTAAAATAGCAAACATCGTTTGTTTATTCATTAAGAAAATTAAATGAAGATGTGATTATTTAATAGTGTGATAATGAAAATATATTCAATTCAAATAATTTCTCTTCAAATAGTGTTTAAACAATATGAAAGAGTAAAAATAAATTTATAATACAAAATACAAAAAGTAAGAACAATTAAGTTATTCTAAAGATATTAATTAAAAAATTGGATTAAATTAATGTGATTAATCATTCTTTAATTTATTCTTTTTCAATGAATTGTTTTTTATACAACTTATAAACAAAAGGAACAAAAAATAAATATAATTATTGGGAATTGTAAACGAGTTTTATAAACTAACAACTTTCTATTTTTATTATTATTGATTCATATCATTTTTAAATATGGTATTACTTTGAGATATTAGTTTTTATTTTAAAATAAATATTTTTTTTAACAATGGTATGAATATTCTCTTTCAATTTTGAATTTAACTTATTTCAATAAATATTTCTATGAATTAGACTAAAAGATATTAAATTTCATATAATAACATTACTGAAACTCATTTTGATACTTAATTTTTTGTTACTCAAAAAAAAAGAATTTTCAAATAAAAAATATCATCATAGTCTGATAAAATAAAACATAATTATTAAAGTTAAAGTTATTTGAATGTTTGTTCTGTTTTCAGATATATTTGAAAAATGTTATATTTGAAAATAACATCATAAAAATCTGAAAAATTTCAATAACTTTTTACTGAGAATGTTTTTCTCTTTTTTTAATCTTTTTTAAACTTAAAAAAGAGAATAAAAAAACTCAAAAGTGCTAAGAAAAAAATGTGGAGAATAGACAAGTTAACATTAACAGATTTTAAATCATACAAAGGGACACACGTTATTCCAGAATTTCATAACTTTCAAGCTGTCATTGGACCTAATGGTGCAGGCAAATCAAATTTAATGGATGCAATTTCATTTGTACTGGGAGTTAAAGTAGGGCTTTTAAGAGGTTCAAATCTTAAAGATTTAATTCATGATGATCCAACAATGGAAAACCCTCCAAGTCGTGCTATTGTAGAACTACAACTGAAACATGGAAATGGGGAAACAAAAAGATATAGTAGAACAATACTTGAAAGTGGCTCAAGTGAATACCGAATTGATGGAAGTGTTGTAAGTGAAAAAGAGTATCAAAATACTTTGAGAGATATTAACATTGATGTTAAAGCAAGAAATTTTTTAGTTTTCCAAGGAGATGTTATTCAAGTTGCATCAAAGAGTGGAAAAGAGTTAACTAAAATGATTGAGTCTATTTGTGGTAGTGATGAACTTGCCAAAGAATATGATGAACTAAAAGCAAGAAAGGAAAAAGCAGAGGAACAAACATTGACGTGTTTTCAAAAAAAGAAAGGAATGAATGCAGAAAAAAAACAGTATAAGCAAATGAAAGAAGAAGCAGAAAGATATCAAGAATTGGAAGAAGAATTAAGTGAACAAAAGAAGAAATTGATGCTTGTTGATATTAGAAATTATAAAAAAGGAATGAAGAAATATACTGATGAAACTAAAGAAAAAAGAACAGAATTAGAAGAATTAATGAATAAAAAAACTGAAAAAGAACAAACGTATCAAGAAGCATTAAATGAAGTCAGAAAGAAAGTTAAAGAAGAAAATGAAAAGAAAGATGAGATTAGAAAATTAAAAGGTGAACGAGAATCTTTAAAACCTCTTGAAGGTAGAATTCAAGCTAAAAAAAGATTATTAAATGATAAATTAAGAGGAAAAGAAAGGGAATTTAAAATTCTCGAAATGCAAAGTTCTGAAGAAAAACATAAAATTGATGAATTTGAAAAACAAAAAAGTGAAAAAGAGGAAAGATTAAATGAATTAAAAAATAAACAAATGATTACTCTTAATGAAAACCAAAAAAAACAATTTGATAAACAAAATGAAAAATATCAAACAGAATGTAGAGATAAAGAGATTGAATTTAATGAAATGAAAAGACAAATTAAACAAGACGAAGAATTAATAAAAGAACTTGGAAAAGTAGAAAATGTCAAACTTTTAGAAGAACAACTTGATTCAATTAAAATACAAGTTAAAAGATATGAAGAAGGAATACAAAAAGAACAAGAAGAAAAGAAAAAAGAAGAAGAAGAAGTAGAAATTATTAAAGTTAGATTAAATGAAAAAACAGAAAATATTGAAAGGATTAATCATGAATTAAAACAAGTAGAGGATCAAATGAGTGAGTTAAGAATGAATTTAAAAGAAAATAAACATGAAAGAATGTTAAATGAAATGGTTGATAATTTAAAACGATTATTCAGTAAAGTTTATGGACAAGTTAATGAATTATATACTCCTATTAATAAGAGGAATGGAAATGTTATTAGTTTAGCTATTGGAAAATATAACAAAGCTGTTGTTGTTGAAGATACTCAAACAGCAATAGAATGCTTAAGATATGTCAAAGAACAAAGAAGTAGAGTTGTTTTAACATTTTTATGCTTAAAAGAATTAAAGACAAAAGATTTCTTTGAACTTGATGAAGAAATTAAGGATATTGGAGGAAGTTTTGCAATTAAAAATATCAAATATAATGATAAATATGATTCTGTCTTTAGGTTTGTATTAAACAATACATTACTTGTTGACACATTAGATAATGCAAGGAAAATTGCTTTTAATGAATACTATAAACATAAATTTAGAATAATCACTTCAATTGGAAGTATTGTAGAAAAAAATTCATTAATGATTGGTGGTATAACAGAAAAAAGTAAAAAGAAAGTTAATGTTAAAAAAGGAGAAGAAGAATATATGTCATTATCTAGTAAGAAACAACAATTAGAAGAGGAATTAAAAGAAACACAAAATATTCAAATAACTAATTTAGAAGAGGTTCAACTCAGAGTTAAAGGACATCAACAAAGAATTAATGTATTACAAAAAAATTTAGAAGAAATTAAAAAAAATGAAGAAAAATATTTAAAAGAGAAAGAAGAAATGGAAAAGAAAATTGGAGGAAAAGATGTTAGAGAAGTCAAAAAAAGAATAGCTCAAAATAAGAAACATTATGAACAACTTGAAAAAGAATTAAAAGAAAAACAAGAAGAATACTTTGGAGAATTAAACCATCAAATTGGAGTAGAAAATATTTATTTAGAATGTAGTGAAAGAATAAATAAAGAAAGAGAAATTGAAATGTTTAACATTCAACAAGAAATTGATGTACTTAAAGAACGAATTAAAATAGAAGAAGAGAAGAATAGTTCAACAGAAAAAATGGAATTAGAAAAAGAAATTTATGATCTTAAAGAAGAGATTCAACAAGAAATTAATGAAAAAGAAGATGAAATTAAACAAAAGCTTGAAAGAAATAATACAGAAATTGAAAATAAAAGTGGAGAATTAGCTAGTGTATTAAGAGAAATGGAAAAACTAAAAATGAATGTTACAGATAAAAAGAAAGAATATGAAGAAGTTGAAAATCTTATTAAACAAAATCAAAAAGAACAAAGTCATGCACAAAGTATGTATAGTAAATTGCAAGTTGGATTAGATGAAACTGTTCGAAGTGCTAGAATGGAACAAATAGAATTACCTATTAAAGACAATGAAAAGGAAACTCAAAGTACTAAAATTACTATGGATATTGTAACACAAAGTACAACTTATGAAGATGTAGAATTTAATTTTGAGAGTATAAAAGATATTAAAATAAAAAATAATGAAGAATATAACAGAATAAGGAATGAGTTAATAGAAGAAATAAATAAATTAGAAAATAAGATCAATGGACTTACACCAAATATGAAAGCCATTGACCAATTTAATGGAATTGTTGATAAATTAAAAGATATTAATGATGATTTTGAAGAAGTTAGAAAAGAAGCCAAAAGTGCAACAGATGCTTTCATAGAAATTAAAAATAAAAGAACAAAAATGTTTATGGAAGCTTTTGAACATATTTCTAATACAATTGACCCTATTTATAAAGAGTTAACAAGAAGTACAAAACATCCACTTGGAGGTACTGCATATCTATCCTTAGAAAATACAGAAGAACCTTATTTAAGTGGATTAAAATATAGTGCAATGCCACCATTCAAAAGGTTTCATGACCTTGAACAACTTTCTGGTGGAGAAAAAACTATTGCTGCACTTGCCTTATTATTTGCTGTTCAAAGTTATTACCCAAGTCCATTTTTTATTTTAGATGAAATAGATGCTGCATTAGATGTTCAAAATATTCTTCAAGTTGCCAAATACATTCAAAAAAAATGTGGAGATGTTCAATTTTTAGTAATTTCACTTAAAGATACTTTGTATGAAAGGGCTGACGCTTTAGTTGGTGTAGCACGTGATCTTGATAAAAAAACATCTGTCACATACACATTAGACTTAAAAGAATATGAGCTTTAAAACAAGAATTGAATAAATTATTTTATATTATAAATTTACTATAATAATAAAGAAATTATTAAATGAACTATAAAATGAAATAAAGAAAAGAATAATGGAACAAGAAGAAGATAAAAAAAATTTATTTGAAGCTGATCCAACAATCCCTGTTTCATGCACATTATACATCAACAATCTTGATCAAAGTATTAAACCAAATAGAATTAGAGATTCTCTTAATACTGTCTTTGGAGCATATGGAAATGTACTTCAGGTATGTGTTAGAAAAAGCTTAAAAATGAGAGGACAGGCATTTGTTATTTATGATACGAAAGAATCAGCACAATTTGCAATGGAATCATTACAAAATCATGAATTATTTGATAGACCAATGGTTTGTTTTATATCTAAACTTAAAAAAAAAGAAAAAAAGATAGATTATAATAATAAAGCATATCAACTACTCTAAAGTTGAAAGTGATATTATTGTTAAGAAGCAAGGAAAAGAAATTACACGAGAAAGAAAACCAAAACAAATTAAAGTTCAAATAGAAAAAACTCTTGAACATGAAGAAAGTCCAATTAACCAAGATATAGAAAAGAAAGAATCTAATGAGACTAAACTTCCTCCAAACTCACCAACCAAATATACAAATAATAGGTTATTTATTAAGAGTGTTCCACAAAATGTAAGTAAACAAAGATTAGAAGAGTTATTTAAACAACAAGAAGGTTTTGTTGAAGTTAGGTATATTGTTATTAAAGGAAATGCTGTAGCATTTATCGAATTTAAAGATGAAATATCATCAGAAAAAGCAATGCAAAAAGGTATAGGACAGAGTGAAGGAATTATACTCCAATTTGCTAATTAAAAGAAAACAAGAAGAGATGATTGTTCTTTCTTATTCTCTTTTTTTTTCTTATAGAAATAATATAATTTATTTTACTATCAAATATAGTTTTTAGTTCAATTCATCTGATATTATATATTCTCTTTTGTTTAATATGAGAAATCAACTTATTGTTGATACAATGAATCGGTGGCATTTTATTATTTTGACTGTTATTACTATTTTAATTAGTTTAGCTGTTGCAGGAGTTTCTATTTATTATCATCGTGTTGTTTTGACTACTGAAATTACTCCACTTGTTGTTGATGTATCTTCTTACTCAAATGGAACATATGCATTAATGCAAAGTCTTGATGTTCAAAAATATGATAAATGGCTTGAGGTGTATTTAAAGTTAGAACCAAAAAATGAAATTAATGAAGAAATTTCTTTTTATGCTGAAACTCAACTACATATTGTAAAAGATTTTCATGACAATGTTAATTCTTTCAATAGAACATACACAACACGTTGTTTTATAGATAAATGTGATGATATTATTTTTGTTACTGATGATGCAGTACAAGAAGCAAAATATATTATTTTAGTTGCAATTAAAGACATAGAAAATAAATTCAATTCAACCGGACTAACAATTTCATTAAGAGTTTCTAAAGCATTTAAGTCACATACAATATTTAGTCTTTCATTAACCATAATATTGGTTTTTATTTCAACCATAACGTTTATAATTCTTTTTGTTATTGCAATTAAAAAGAAAGAATTTAATATTTATGTCAATTTTAATCTTTTATTATCATTTGGAATGATTTTATTTAATGATCCTTTTGTAGCTTTAGGATTTTATGCTAATTACATTTCTATTGAATATGTAGATAATGTATTAATGGAATTATATATGTTTATTCTTTTTGTATGGATATTTTTCCATGTAGATCATTTAAAATTACTTGCTATTGAAGAGCCTTATCCAATTTTACAATGGATATTACGTTCATGTGTTTTAATAGCTTATTTCTTCTGTTTTATACTTTATTTCTTTATGAATATTTTACATCATTCATCTTCAATAACTGGAAGTCCAAATCCAATAATGGATGATGTAAAAGCAATTAGAGATCTTTTACAAGTAGTTCTTGTTTTTTGGATATTAATGTCTGAATTTTTTTCATTTACACAAGTAATGAATCCGATAAATAGAAAAAGATTATTTTTCTTAACTCCATCTACATTATTAGTAGCTGTTGCATGTGTAATACAGTTATTTTTTCAAAATAATTCTCATAATAATATTCGTTTGTTTATTTTATATATATTTTTGTATATCCTTCTCTCATTTTAGAGTTAAACCTTTTATTTATTTCACATAGCAATTCCTGTTTGTATGGTGAAATTAATGAATACATATTTTGTAATTGTAATGTGTTTCTGTTTCTATCAAATAAAAAATGACTTAGCAACTATTTCGTTATTACATACAACAGAAACAAACCAAACAATTTTGTATGATGAATATGATATGTTTGATTCTGAAGATGACAAACCTATTTTATAACTCATATTTTTGTAGACTTTTGTCCTAAAAGAAACAGAGAAAAAGAAAATTCCATTGATTTCAATTGATTTCAATTATATTTCTATCTTTTTATAAAATTAGACACTTCAAATGAAACAAAACAAACTTTCAAACCCTTCTTATTTGTAAATTTATTTATAAAGTAAACTTGTTAATTCTTAAATATCTTTCTCGATGAATTTCACCTCAAGTCATATGCAACGATTAGATAGTATTAGAGAGGCTATTGGAAATGACCAAATAGATAAATTACTTCCAACATTAAAAGCAACAAATAAACAAATAATATTTGTATGTTATAATCAAATGGGAAACCCAAATATTAGAGATGGAAGTGCTTTTTATACAGAAAAGGAAATGATAGAAAATAATATTAAAATTATTGTTTATATGGGAACAACTGAAGATAAACAATACGTTGCAGTTGAAACTGAACATGCTCCAGTTGGAAGTATTTCAATGAATTTAACTGAATGTATGAAATTAGAACATACCATGTGTGATATTATTGGATTTGGAAGTGCTTTAATAAAATTTAATCAACGTTTTAGTTATTGTCCACGTTGTGGAAATAAAATGAAGTATGGGGGATTTGGAACTCATATGGATTGTGGAAGTTGTAAAAATATGGTATTTCCAAGAACAGATCCTTGTATTATTGTTGTTGTACGTCATCCAACAGAAAAAAAATGTTTATTTGTTCGTAAATCAATTATGCCAGAAAAACGATATACTTGCGTTGCTGGATTTCTTGAAGTAGGTGAATCTGCTGAAGAGTGTGTTACTAGAGAAGTTTGGGAAGAAGTCCATTTACATGTTAAAGATGTTAAATATGTTACAAGTTCTGGATATCCTCTTCCTGGAGCGAATCAGATAATGCTTGGTTATGAAGCACAAGCAATAGATAGTGAGATTGATATTATTCCTGGAAATGAATTATGTGAAGCATTTTGGGTCAATGAAGAAGAAGTTAAACAAGCTATAAATGAATCAAAAAAACCAAAACCAGAAGGGAGATATACTGTTCCACCAACTTATATTGCACATCAATTATTCCAATATTGGGTGAATCATATGTAAGACAATTTAATTTTAATACTTTTTTTAAATAAAAGTTCAATATTTAAAAATAAAAAAGAATTAAAATTAATATATTCTAATTTTAATAACAAAAAGGAACAGTTACAACAGCACAAGTAATATTATCTTGAGAACCCATGCTGTAAGCAAAATCTCTTAATCTTACAGAACCTATACTTAACGATTTGGATGTTTTAATAATATCAACAGCTTTTTGATTACTAACTACATCCCAAACTCCATCACATGCTACAATAACAAATTCATCATTTGCCATAATATCATATTCTCGTATTTCTGGAACAGCAGAAACAATAGGTGAATTTTGTATATCACCAAATGAACGTGAAATAGCTAATTCTCCATTAACTCTTCCTGCAAAAACATGTCCACCCATTCTAATAATTCTTTCTCTTTCACATGTTCCATTTGGTTTATGATCTTCAGATAATTGAATTGCTTTACCTCCACGACATAAAACAGCCCTAGAATCTCCTGCCCATGCAACATACATTTTCATATCTAGAATCATTACTACAACAGCAGTACATCCATCTTCTATTCCTTTTTGTACAATTTCTTCTTGCATTCTATTAAACCCTTCTTTTAAAGCATTTACTGGAGCTAATCCTTCATTTAAACAAATTTCAATTACACAATGAAATCGTTTTGCAACATAATTAGGGCATATTTGTCCTGAATGACCATCATACACAGCAGTGAAACTCCTTCCTTTTTTATCCATAAAATTAGGAACAAGTTCAAGTGAGTCTTCATAAGTTGGACGTAATCCAGTCATTTCTGCATGTGCTACAGTAATTTTAAATAGACTTGAATTAGTTTTTGATAAATTCCTTCCTTCTTCAGTGGTATGATGTTGTTTAAATGGATTACAATCAAAATTAGTTAATACAAATTGATCTTCATCAATATCTCCAATAGAAGTAATTTGGTTATTTGTTAAATTAAGGAATAAAGAAGGTTTTAGTAATAACTTATTTACTGAGATAATTTTATTTTCCGAGAGATTCAGAAAAATCAATGAAGAGAGTTTTGTTAATCCTTCAGGAAGTAATACAAGATCATTTGAAGAAACATCAAGACACTGTAAGTGAATTAAATGAGTTACTACATCAATAGAATTTAAATGATTAAAAGAAAGATCCAATGTAGTTAAAGTTGATAATGAAGTAAGTTGAGATGGTAGTTCATATAAATTATTATTTGAAATAATTAGTGCTTGTAATTTACTAAAGTTACATATTTGAATAGGAAAAGTAGTTAAGTTATTTGATGATAATGAGAGATAACGAAGATGAATTAATACAGTAAAATTTGATGGAATAATTAGAAGGTTATTATCAGTTAATTCTAGTGATGTTAATGAAGTCATAGAAAGTAATGAATTAGGTAAAGTAATGAAATGATTAAAAGAGGCATTAAATTTTTGTACGTGAAGATGTTCAGTATTAACTTCAGGTAATAAAGAAAGACAATTACTTGTGAGATTAAGTGCGGTTAAGGCGGTTAAAATAGTAATTTCATTAGGAAAAGAAGAGATTTGATTAGCAGAAAGATTTAATGAACGAAGATTAGATAACGTAGATAATAATGGAGGAGAAAGAAGTTTATTATTATCTAATAATAATTCAGTAAGAGTAGATGGTAATGGAAGACATAACTCTACTAATTCATTAAAAGGTAAATATAATGATTTTAAATTTGGAGGTAAAGAGACTATAGTTGAAAATGAATTATTCGATAAATTTAATTGAGTTAATGCTGTAAGTGTTGTTAAACAAGGAAGAGTTGATATATTATTATTTTCACATTCAAAATTTCTTAATGAACTTAAATTTGTTATTGAAGAAGTAATTGAACCAATATGATTATTATTTAATATTAACTCTTCCAAATGACATTCTTTTAAGAAAGGAATATCAGGTAAACTTGTTATACGATTCTTATTAAATTGGATTGACTGTAAAGAAGGCATTGTAAAAAGTTCCATTGGAATAATAGTAAGTTCATTATCGTTCATCATTAATTTAACCAATGAACACATATTAGTAATAGACTCAGGAATAACTTTAATAACATTGTCATTAAGATTTAATGAACTTAATGAACTAATATTTGTTAATGCTACAGGAAAAGACATTAAACAATTTCCTGCAAAAGTAATTTGTTTTAAATGATGCATTAAACCAAAAGATATTGGTATTGTTGTAATAAAATTCATTTCTAATGAAATTGTAGTTAATTCTGGTGCAAAAGTACCTTCTTGGATTGTATTAATTGTATTTTTATTACAAACTAATACTTTAAGATTAGTCAACTTTGATAAACCTTTATCAATGACTGAAATAGGATTTAAGTTATTTTCAACATTTACTAATGACTTTAATTTATATAATGAAGTTAATGAAGTAAATTTATTGAATGATATTGATACCTTTGTTAAATTTGTCATTGATGATAAGTCAGATGGAACTCTATCTAACTTATTTAAACTAATATCTAAAAAACTTACATCACGTGGTATATTTGATGGAATATTAGACAGTCTTTTACCACGAAGGTTGACTTTGCTCATGAACAATCTTTTGTCAGTTTTGTGTTCTTTTTTTAGTTTTTCTTTTTATTTTAAGGAAAAAAAATTGGAAAATAAAAAAAAAAATTAACAAAATTTCTTTAAATTTCCATATATTTTTTGTTTTAACTAAAAATATTATTTTATAGTTTTAAATGATTTTTTATTTTTAGATATTTTTAGATTAAACATAAATAATAACAAAACTATTCAAAAGTAGTTCAAAAATATTCAATCAAAAAATATCTAAAAATAAAATAGTAAAAAAACAAAAAAAAAAAAAATAATAATAAAAAATCATGAAAAAAGAACTATAAAAATCATAATTTAATAAACGAAATAATGAAGATTATTTCATTGATTATATTATTTGGATTATTACTGAATTGTAATGGAGGTAAAATAACAAAAAAATATAAATGGTCAGATGTTGGTAAATGGAGTAAAAAAGCTACAGGGAGTAAAGTATTAATTATTTATACAGGAGGTACTATAGGTATGTTAAAAGGAAAAAATGGATTAGAACCAAGAAAAGGATATATGGGAGATGTATTAAGAGGTATGAGTGAAATTCAAAGTGAAACTGCAGTTACATATGATATTGTAGAATTAGATCCTTTATTAGATTCATCAAGTATGTCACCATCAGATTGGACAAGAATAGGAGATGTTATTAATGCACATTATAAAAATTATGATGGATTTGTTGTATTACATGGAACTGATACAATGCAATATACTGCAAGTGCATTATCTTTTATGTTTGAAAATTTAAGTAAAACAATTGTTGTTACTGGTTCTCAAATACCAATTTCTGAACCATACACAGACGCTAAAAATAATTTAATTTCATCATTAAAAGTTGCTGCTCATCTTAATGTTCCTGAAGTTGTATTAGTATTTGGTGGGTTATTATTAAGAGGAAATAGAGTAACTAAGACTTCTGCTAATTCTTTAAGAGGTTTTTCATCAGTAAATTATCCTGCATTAGCTAAACTTGATCTTAGAATTGAATTAGCTAAACCTTTTGTCCTTCAACAACCCAAAGGACCAATGGTTTATCACCCTGTTATGAGTAAAGATGTAGCTGTTTTAACATTATATCCAGGAATTACAGGAAAAACTGTTAGAAGTATTGTTGACTCTGGTGTTAAAGGAATTGTTATTCAAGCCTTTGGAGAAGGAAATGCTCCTGAAAATAAAGATTTTGTTTCAGCATTACAATATGCTGATCAAAAAGGAATTGTATTAGTAGATACTACCCAATGTGGTAATGGTAATGTTAATATGGATTCTTATGCTGCAGGTTCTGGATTAAAAGCTGCTCATGTTGTCAATGGTAGAGATATGACTGTTTCAGCTGCATTTACAAAAATGGCTAATTTGATTGGAAGAGGACTTAAAGTATCTCAAATTAAAGAATTAATGGAAAAGGACTTGTGTGGAGAAATGTCAATCCCACAAAAGGATGAATTATAATTCTCATTTTTCAAATCTGCTCATTCTACTTTTCTTTGGTTATTTGTTTTTTTTCTTTCGTTTTTACTCTCAATTAATTAAATAAACTTCTCTAAATAATAGAAATTTTTGTTTAAATTTAAATACCTCTTCTTAATATTATGAAAATCAAATTTTTAATTATAATGATAAAAATGAAGATAAATGTTTAAATTAAACTTCTAGAAGAAATACCTTAAAGAATATTAATAGAGATGATTTGTATTAAATTAATAGTCAATTGAAAGAAGAATAGAAAATAGAATGATTATTTTGCGATGAAGAAGAGTGAAAATATTGAAAGAAGAGAAATGAAGAAGTAAAATAAATAGAAGAATATCTGATATATTATTTGATTCAGATAATGATAAAATGAAATGTAATACATCAATAATTAGAGAATAAAAATGAATAATTAAAGAATACAAATGAATAAGAAGAAATAGAAATGAAAATATGATAAAAAGAAAATGAATAAGTTAAAGAAAAGGAATAAAATTATAAGAAATAAAGACATTTATAAATAAAAATATATTCAACACCAATATTGAAATGAAATAATGAATAAACAAATAATAAATTAAAAAGAAGTGAGAAATATTTATAAAATGATGAAACATATTCATATTATGAACAAAAAAACAATATTCATTTGAATATAAAGGAATAAAAATTCACTTATTGAAAACAACATTTCAGTTCACAAAGAATCATTGTAAATGAAAATATGAAATATGAGTTATTTGAAATAAAAAAGAATAAATTTTGAATGTTATATTGAGTCTATTTTATTGTTGTAATAGTACATTCTATTTATAATTTTATTAAGTATTTGAAAATTATTTAGTATTATTGATAAATAATTTTATTTTGATGTTTCTTGTAAATCTTAAATAATTCTTGTCATCATCTTCTTTTTTTTAATGAGTTAATGAAAGTCATAATAAAGTTGAATAAGCTTTTGATATATAAAAATTAATTCAATGTTTATTAATTTGTTCTATCTGCTTATTTACTATACTTTAATTATTGTTGGTTTAGTATCTTGTCTTAATTTCTCATTATTTTATAATTCCCCTTCTATATTCTTGATTACTTACAGTCTATAGAATTATTTTTTTTCATTAATAAATTGGTGGCATTATTCAGTTTTATTCAAATAGATTTTAATAAATACTTCAATATATTCTTCTTGTATATATTTGTGTTTAGTTTATAAAACTTATTCTTAATGTTTATTTTTTATTAAAAACATAATTATTTTTAATGTTAGTTATTCATATTATGTTGTCTCTCTTACTTTAATAACCAATGACATCATGAAATCAAATTGAATTTCATTTCCTTTTTTCTTCATCAAAGTGACAAAAAAGGGATTTTCTTTTCAGTTTAACAAAGAATTAAAAGAAAACAAGGATTAAACTCTTTTTATTACTCAATACCAATAAATTGTAAAAACAAAAGTTCAATAATTCTGTTGTAAATACTTCCATGACAAGAATAAAACCAAAAAAAGAAAAAGAAGAACTTTGAAACTAATATCTTAGGTAATGGGGAATGAACAAGCCAAGCGAAAAGCAATGAAAAAAGGGTCATTAGGAGATCTTAGCTTAAAAGAAAACAAACCACCAACAAGATTATCATTTGATTCTCAACAAAGTGATAAAACAACACCTACATCCCCTAGAAGTCTAAGAGTATCAGAAACTAGAGACAGTCAAATAAAACGACAAAAAACACCATTAATTATATCAAGAAATTATTCAAAACAACCAAACCTAATGAAATCACCAAAAACACAACTACTTCAAAATGAAAAGAAACCATCTCATCTGTTCTTAAGTACAAAATCTAAATCTTCCTTAAACCTTAATTTAGTCTCACTTAATCAAGACCCTAATGATCCTTCTAAAAGAAAAGCAGCTACACCACGTGCAGAATCATCTCCTCGTTTAGGTAGTCAAAAAGAATTTAAAAAAGATTTAAATGAAGTTAAATCACTTCGACGTAAATCAATGCAAGTACTTCCATCACTTTTTCAACCTCATAGAAATACTAAGAAAAAAGAGACACAAAATGGAACAAACTTAATAGGTCAAAATCCAAAAGAATTATCATTATTGTCTGAATATATTTCAGAACAAATTCAATTAGTTACTGAAATGATTAAAACCCAATACCATGTTAATACGTATCAAGTAATTTATGACTCAACATATGATGAATTGTCATCTCGATTTTTTAATTCTAAAGTTTGTTGTCACGAAAATATGTTCATTATTGTTACAACAAAAGAAGGATATGTTCTTGGTTTTTTCCAAGAAGACTTTGTTCCACTTTCACCTAAATTTCAATGTAGTAAAATTCGTTCAAACAATTTTAAAGTATTTGGTTTTGGAGATCAATTTATTGATACTCTTCAAAAAACAAATCCAAAAGATGATGTTGGAATGATTTTATATCCAAATAGAGAAACAAGCTTTATTTTTACTTGTCATGGTGCATTTTGGGTTCTTTCAGATGGAAAAGTATATATTCACCAAGGTATAAATAATTTTTATAATGTTGATCCTTCTTGTAAAAATCCATTAATTCATTACAAAATGCAAAAATTTCTCATTCTTGATACTTTAATTGTATTTGAATGGAAATAATTGTTACATTATTATTCATTTTATTTACAAATTTTTGTCTCTAACTTATTTTTATTGTTTTTCTTTTTTTTTTTTGTTTTTTAATAAATTTAATAACATTTATTTTAATTATAAAAATAATATTTCATTTTATTAAAGAAAAAAATTGTGTTATTCAAAGAGAAAAGAAATTATTTGTAATTAATAGTGTGAGTCACTACTATTCCATCATAACAAATTGGACAATACACTTTATCTAAATAACTTCTTGCAGTTGTTTCATATAAAGGATTATGACATTCAGCGCATCTAAAATGGTCAGCATGCCATTTTCTACCACAAGCGATAATAGAATTAGAATCAGTTCTATCAATCATTTCACCACAAAAACCACATTTATACCCCATTAATTTAAATTTATGTTCATTACAATACAATGTGTTATTATTACAATAGAAATTTTCATTAAGAGGAATACCACATACACTACATACAAAACATCCTTCATGGAATTTTTTATCACCTACTCTTTTATATTTACCTTCTATTATATTTCCACATACATAACAAAGTAATCCTTCTGATGAAACATAACATGATTGACAATATATTTTTCCATCTTTTTCATATGATTTATTTCCATTGAATGGTATACCACATTTATCACATATAAAACAATCAGGATGATACTTTTTTCCTTTTATATCAATAACTTGTCCATAAATATCTTTTCCACATCTAAAACATTTTTGAATACGACACATCCCCATGGCTGTAGCACATCCTATACAATATGGTTGCTTTCTAATCTCTTGATATTCACTATTATTTAATAATTCACCACATCCTTTACATGTAAAATGAGATGGATGATATGTTTTCCCACATGCATTAATAACTTGTCCTTCTTCAATTGGTTGTTTACACTTAAAACAAATAATACTCATTTCTTCTTCTTCTTTTTTACAGTTCTCTTCTTTTTTTAGTTTTATTCTTTTATTTTTAGTTTTTGGTATTGAAAATTCTATTTTAAGATTATTATTTAATTTTAATATTTTTATAATAATAATATAAAAAACTATTTATATTATTTATATAATTTATTTTATTAAAAATTAAGGGTTAGGTTAAATATTTAAACCTCAAATCTTTTTATTTTGTTCGGAATTATTGCAAGTCTCCACAGATTGACATAAAGAATGTCTTATCTACTAAGACTTTGCAAGATTAAAACAAGTTTTAAACTCACGAGTAATATTGAATATTCGTGTTAATAGGGCTTGGAAATAATCTTTTTTTTTTTAATTTGTTTTGAATAATTAGTTTTAATTGATAATTTTTAAAATTGAAAAAAGTAATTTAAATAACAAAAAATTAATTTTTTTTGTTATTTATTTAATATTTTTAGTAGAATAAAAAAGATTAAAAAATGAATGAATAGATCTTAATAATTAAATTACTTACAAATGAAATTAGATACTTCATCTTTATTGACTGTGTTTTTTAGTTTAAGTGAAACTGATATATTTCAATTTATACAAATTAATAAAAAATGTTTTAATGTTTCTCAATGTTGTTTAGTTAATCCATGTAGATTAAATAAAAAAATTTTTCATTTGTTGAATAACCTTCAAACTCTTAGTGTTAAAACTGATGACTTAAAAGAAATTGATTCATTATCCCAAAAAGAAAAAGAAAGATTTAAATCTTATCCATTCGTTTGGAGGATATCAATTAATTCTAATAATTTAGATAATAAAAGAAATATTTGGGATATAATTAATTTAAAAAAAATTAGAAAATTGGTTATTGCTTGTGAGAAAGTCCCAGATATAATTACTGAATGTCTTACCCAAATGGATGAATTAACTGAATTAAAGTTACTTGTTGAATTTGTCCCAATGCTTCTTTCACAAATCCAACAACTTGCATTAAAAAAATTAGTCATTTATGTTTATCAAAAAAATGAAGAAATTAATTATAACCTCTTGCTTAATCATCCTACTTGCAAAAATATAATAGTGTATTCTATATTTGATAAAGATGTTATTGAAATTAAAACAAAATTTCCATCATTAACAGTTGTTTTCCAATCAAACTACCTTCCTACTTCAATTAAATTAGCAAACTTAATAGTCCAAAGAAAAATTTATCTTTCAATTGGACATATTCGTCTTGACTCAAGTGAACTTGAAGTAAATGACTTTCAAGAACTCCAAAGACTTTATTTACCAGCATTTAATATTTCGGATTGCCAACCATTAACTGTCCTTCCTCAAACCTATTGTTTAGAAATTGATACCTATTTTCCAGAGATGGTGTGTCAAATGACTTGTTTAAAAAAATTCGTATTCTTTGAGAAATTGGGATATTTTCCTAATCATTATGACTTTTCTCATTTAACCCAATTAACATCATTAGTTCTGTATGGTAACTACCAAAGAAAACGTAAAATTTTTATTCCAACAAGTTTAGAATGTTTAGAATCAAGTTGTTTTGTTGATAATACAAACAACATTATTTTAAATAAGAAAAAAGGACTACAACACCTAAATTTAAAACAACTCAGTTTGAGGGAATGTGAAGTTATAAAACTTGGAGGAGTAGTTGATGATTTAGTATTAATTAATTGTTGGACAGAAAATATTTTAAATTGTGTTGGTATTAAAAAGGTTTATATTAAGGAATGTCCAGTCAAAACTGTTATTGTGTCTTCTCAATGTCAACACATGAGCATTGAGTGTGATTCTCTTCAGTGTATTAAAACATTACAGAACTAAATTATCTATTTAAGAGATGATAGAGAAAATTAAAAAATGCCAACGCATCAATTGTTGTCTATTTTTCAAAACTACTTAATATAAATCCTATTTAATCATTTATGAATCCAAATAGTAAAATCCCACCAGAATTAGTTGATGATGTAGCCAATTTCCTTGATCAAGAGACTTATGAAGATTGCAAAGTTTATCTCACAAAACATTATAAATTAATTGATAGAAAGGTTGCTGATGGGTTATTTGAAGATTCGTTGTTAACTTTTGTTCAATACCCACCTCAGTTCGGAGCTCGAATGGTTCGATGTTCACAAATTTTAACTTATTTATGTGACATTAGAGATGCTACCCATGGACAACAAGATATTACATTATTCTTCTATCGATTACTTGGTCCTGACCCTAGTTTTAAGAAAGGATTTGAAGATCATTGTAAAATGTTATGTGAAAAAATGATTCAGAGTGCTGCACGAATTAAAAAGAGTATGGAAGAAGAAGAAAAAGCTAAGGCTACAAAAGGAAAAGAAGAAGAGAAAGAAAAGGAACAACAGAATTGATTCTTTTAAACGAAGAATATTAATTTATTAATTTGAAATTCCTCTTCTGAATATAATAACAATAAAAGAAGATTTTCTGTTTTGAAAAGAGTAGTATTTTTTATGTAAAAATTAAACCTTTTTTTTCATTATTCAAATAACTAAATTTTTTTTTCAGTATTTTTAAAACAAAGATATTATTTAAATTATTTTAATTGAAATAATAATTTTTACTTGTCTTAACTTCTAATAGTTATTCCTCAAATTGAGACATACCTTATTCTAATATTCTACGAAATTAATTTACTGAGTAACAATATTTTTAGTGTCAGAATAGAAAATATAAGATGTTCTTATTCTATTAAAACTAAGATTTCTTACATATTCATGATAAACGAGATTACTATGGTTAAGTTTTAATGAAATTATAAAAGTCTATTAATAATTAAGAAATTATCAAATTTGAATATTGAGAAGTTATGTAAAGAGTGTTTAAAATATGCTCTATTATCAAATAAAATAAATTTTAAGCATAATTAGTCCAAAATTTGTAAAAAAAAACAAATTAATAATTAAATTATTTCAAATACTGAAACAGCTGCACCAACGTTAATTGTTGTTAATGGTAATAATATTTTTTTGTTTAATGAATAAATCATTAATTGAGACAGGTTAGGTTGGTTTTGATCAGAAACCAATAAAATAATTTCATTTTCATGATATGGAACAAATTTTGCTGCTTCTACTCGTTGGTTAGGAGTAAGTGGCACAGTAACTTTATATAATTCATTATATTCAACATCAGTCACAACTATTTGATTACACCCAAATCCAGAAGTTGCACCACTTACACAACAGTCAAATGGAATGAATGAAAAAGTATAATTTTCACGTGAATATAAAACACTTCCAAATTCTATTGAAGAACATTTTAATGATGATGTTGCTTTCTTAAATACTTTATTCCAATCACTCCATCTTACTCTAAATTCATTGTCTAAAGCTGCAATGATATAATTTTTTGCAATAACATGCATAACTGAATCTTTAACAAATCCAAGTCTAATATTCATTGGAAGTTCTTCATCAGTTTCATTTGCTGGAAGGATTTGACGAGGGATAAGAGTATTATAATATAAATGACCATCAACATATGTTTTTTGATGCATTTCAAAGATCATTCCAGTATTAGCATCAATTCCATATGTTTTATTACCAAAATTAATAAGTTCATGAAAGCTAATATTCTTATTAATTGGAGAGGTTACTTCAATGAGGTCAAAAGGTTCAGTAATAGAATATGTTCCATCTTGTTTTTTAATGAGTTGAATCCCAAAAGATTGTGAGCCAATTTTACTATTTGAATTAGTTAATCCTAATAAGGTAAGGTTATTAGAATTTTTATATTTTAAGTAATTTGATTGAGAACTATAATAATACTTCTCAGGGATACTTTCAAATAATGGATGTAATGGTAAAACAAGAATGGCTGCTAAAATAATCACGAAACATAAAGTGAACACAACAATGATTTTCATGAATCAATTAAATCATTATTTTCTGTTTTAAATTCTTTTCTATTATATTAAAATATTATTTATTATATTTTAATATAATATTTTTAATAACATTTTTTTTTAAAACAAATTAAAATAACAAAATATTTTTTTTTTGTTATTATTTTTTCTAAAAATAAAAAACAATACGAATGAACGTTATGACTAAAAAATTTTAAGACTCAGTGAAAATAATTTATGAGATTATTAATTTGAAGTTGTAATCTTAATATTTAACCATTTTGAAGGAAAGAATCTTCTAAAGTATTTTATTGGAACAAAATGAACTTAAAATCAATAAAATTGTAATAATAAATGTCAATATCACTGAGTGATATAGTTAATTATTCTGTTCATGAAAGCCAATGCCCTCCATTAGAAGAACAAATGAGAAGTGTTTCATATGTTATTTCAAAAGTACCAGGAGCACCACGTGCATTAAGAATTCAACTTGTGAATAAATTTAAATCATATTTTAATAAAATAATATCAGAGAATGAAGTATTAAATTGTTTATATTTGACACAATATGTTGTTAAAAGACAATCATCATTTAGGGCACAAGTTGCAGATATTGATTTTATAGCATCTATAGAAATATTAGGAAAGAGGAAAGTTTGTTTTTTTTTTGATTATTATTAAATGGAGAATCTAATTTCATTTTTAGAATCAAAGAATTCAAAAACAAATAAGAGAAATGTTAGAAGAATGGTCTGATGAATATCCTAATGAACTAAGAGAATATAATGTTCTTTATTTAAAATATGTTAATGAAGGAATTATTACTATTTCATCACATAAACCAAAGAAATTCTATGATCTTCCATCAGAAATAACCTCATTAATTCCTTCAATGGAACATTTTACAAGAAAAATACAAGAATATCTTGAAGATAATCAACGTCATAATCTTCAAAAATTATATGAACATTCTAGTAAATTAAATAGTAAAATACAGTCTTGTATTGTTAAGTATAAAGCTAATGATAATTATGACCAAAAACAAATTGATGAAGTTGATATTGTGTCTAGAAAATTTAATGATTTAGTACTTCTTTTAGCTGATAAAATTAATAAGTCTAATATGACTCAAACTACTATTTGTACTACATTATTCACAAATCCTATAGAAGATCATAAAATAATTCCAATACAACAAAAAAGTCATGTTTTAACTCCTAAATATTCTCTTCAACTTCAACCACCTCCTTCTAAATTAATGTCTTCTAAGTTTGTTTTATTATTGTTATTATTATGTATTATTTTAATTTCTTTAAATCACTCTAACATACTTTAGACAAAGAAAAGTTAAAACACCATGTTCTCATCTTATCTTTTCTTATCAAAACAATGCTCTTTATGGAAAAACAAGTGGTATAAATTCATTTGATGACCAATCTTGGGATTTTGATAATTCAACTGAAACTCCATTAGAAATAAATTCTAGTGAACGAATTGTTCAAAGTTCAAATGTCTTTGAAGAAATGGACTTTGATGAACAATCTTCATTATTGTGAAACACAAACATGTTTTTTTATTAATTTCTTTCATTCATTTGAAATATTTCTTTGTTTTGTTTTTTATTAAAAAAAAAACGTATGAAAATAAAGAGATTGAGATACAAACAATTTATTGAGAAAAAAGTGATGAAGTCAAGACAATTCTTTGCTTGATTTTCTCATTTATTTCTCTCATTTGTTGAACTTTCATTTTAAGTTCAAAGTTCAATTGAGCCATTGTCTCTAACTTGGTTACTGTCCATTCTTTTATTTCATCTAAAGCATATGACATACTTGTTGAAGTGCCTATGTATTGATTTCCTTTCACAAGAGAAAATATTTCTCCAAATCCATCAGCATAATAAGCACTTAATATATTTAAATTATCTTTTAGAATTAAAAGCAAGTTACACAAAGACTCTTCTTGTTTATCTTTATTTATCATTCCTACTTCAAGACTATTAGGATATTCCATAATAAATTCAAAGATAGTATCAAGAACATTTTTTAAATCAAGCATAGGATCTTCTGGTATTCTATGAAATGTTGTTCTTTCAAAAATCCATTCAGAAACTCCTTTTTGAAGTATTTTTAATAAAGAAGGATATTTAACCAAAGGAAGAAAACAATACCTTAGGAAAAATAATGAAGAAAATACTTGTTTGATTATTTGTTGATCATGAGAAATAGCTCTATAAGAACATAATTCTTTAATAATTCTTCTTTGATGAGAAGTTAAGTATGATAGATTCTTAACAAGAGACTTTCCAAAATTTTTCATAAACTCTCTATTATTATCTTGACTGATATCAACGTCATCTAAAGTTCCAGTTATTACTTTTAATTTTTCAATTTCTTTTACCATTTCATCTAAGTAACGGTTACACCAATTTAATACATATGACTGATATAATCTAATAAAAGGTGTATTTCCTTTTAAAAGAGGTGTTCCTGTTTTAGTTGAAGATATTTCTTTTTCTCCAAGTTTTGTAAATAAAAATGTCACTTTACCACGAGATGCATAAAAATTTAATAAAGAATTAATTTTGAATGAACTTGAATCTCTTTTGAGGAGCTATTTGAGTTAGTTTTATTTTGCAAGAATCTATTTAATATAATTATCAGAAAAGTTAATACTACGAACTTTATCACAATAACAAAATAATAATGAAGGACTTTCATCAAATAGACTTGACCTTAAAAATTGTTCAGGTGACTTTCTTGGAGTAATAGTGATTTGTGATCTTGGTGGTGGAGAAACTAAATTATTTAATCGTGTTGTAGTAATAATTCCTTCTCTTGAAGATAAAGACCTAAATGGTTTCATTGAAAAAGAGTCAATATCTTTAGCACTATTTGATAATGATGAACATAAGTTATTTGCCACACTCATTCGATTCAATAAGGATCTTTGAATTCCTTTTTAAATTCTATTCTCTTTCCTAAATTCTAAAAATACGATACCAGGAATGAAACTCCAACAAGTATTATCTTCATATATGTTTAAAAAAAAATAAGTCAAAGCTAAATGTACTTTCTAAAAGCTCCAAAACGATTCTATTATGTAAAATTTTTAAAGCTAAATTGATAAAATACGATGTTATTTTCTTTTGAATGTATTTTATTTATTGAAAATTTAATAAAAACTGAGGAACTTTTCTCATAAACAATTCTTCCTCTATTAACAGAGCTATTCCAGAATAAAAAATTATAAAAAAAACGAAATATACAACAAATGGTGATATTTTTTGCTTTAAATAGCTTTAAATTCTCTAAACAATAAGGGTTTCTTGTCAAAAATGACCCAACGCAGAAAGAAAGAATCAAATTTAACTAGTTCAATCCATATTTGTGTGAATAGAATATAACCATCGATTATTCATTAAACAAAATGGAATTCAGAAATGAATGATATAGATATATTCTGTCCAATTAGTAAAAAATTCATTTTCAGTGATTGTCCGTTTCACTAAAAATAGTTTATGGAATAAAAAAAGTTTGTACCTTTTTATAGTATTTTATGAATCTTTAATAGTTTATTACAACTGCTTTTTCATCTTTCTACTTCCATTTATGATTTTGGATAAAATTTGTTCTTTTCTATTTAATAGACTGGAAATAATAGTTTTTCTTTTTTTTCAAATATTATTTCATGTATTAAAAAATAGACTAAACAACATAACTTAAATTTATGTTTTTATTGTCTTATTTCCTTGTGTAAATAAAAATTTACTTATTCTTTTATAGCTATCTTATTGTTTGTTACTATTTCATACATTAAAAATTGTTTTATGAAAAAGAAAGAAAAAAATTATAATGATAAATGAATAAATTCTTTATTTTAAAGCAAAACACAATCCCCTCCTTTTGCTTTCTTGGTTCTTTCTTTCTTGGTTCTCTTTCTTCCTGTAACTGCCTCTCGTTCAAGTTGAACTTCTTCTCCATCTACAGTCTCTGGAACTAAATCATCTATTTCTTTTTTGTCTTTTTTCTTATCTCTTTTGGAGAAAGAAATTGTTTTTGCTGACCTAAGGCTTTTATGTTTCTCTATTTTAGATTGTTTGAGTGAATGTTTAGGTGTCTCAGATATACTTTCTGATGTAAATGAATTGATTGTATGTTTTCTTGGAGTTTCTTCTTTAGACTTTGATGGAGTTGAGGCTGGTGATATAGTTGGTGTTGAAGAAACACTTGGTGGAGCAGAAATAATACAATTCGTTGACTTTGATGGATTTAAACTTTCTTTTAAATGTTGTTGAGGTGTTTTCTTGACTTCGATTAAAGTCTTATCGTTTCTTTCAGTAACGACTTTTCTTCTTCTTGGTTGTATATTATGATTGACAATTGATGGGTCAACAAGGTTATCCCTTTCATCAATTTTTTGTTGAACAACATCTGAGAGTCTAGGAGACCCAATAGGAGATTTAACTTTAATTTCAGTGACTGAAGGAATGTATACAAGACTTCCAACACTTACTTTTTGTTTTCTTTTTAGTCTTTCAGCCTTTTCTTTTTGATATCTTTCTAAATCTTCTTTTGCTTTTTTAAGTCTTTCTTCTTCTGCTTCTTTTCTTCTTTTTTCAAACTCTTCTCTTCTTTGTTTTTCTTCTTCCTCTTTTTTCTTTAACTCCTCTTCTTCTAATGCCTTTCTTTTCTTTTCTTCTTCCTCTCTTTTAATTCTTTCTTCCTCAATCTGTCTCTTTTCTTCTTCAGCAACTTTAACTCTTTCTTCTTCTTTTTGGCGTAGTTCTTCTTCTTTCTTTCTTTGTTCTTCTTCTTTTTGGCGTAGTTCTTCTTCTTTCTTTCTTTGTTCTTCTAACCTCTTTTGTTCTTCTACTAACCGTTTTTTCTCTTCTTCTTTCTTTATTTTTTCTTGTTCTTCTTCTCGTCTTTTTCTTTCTTCTTCTTCTATTCTTTTTCGTTCTTCTTCTTCTTTTTTTAATTCATTTTCTTTGATTCTTTCTTCTTCAATACGTTTCTTTTCTTTTTCAATTCTCAACCTTTCTTCATTTACTTGTCTTGCAATTTCTTCTTGTTGTTTCTTATAATCTTCTTCTCTCTTGATCCTTTCTTCTTCTTCTTTTTGTTTTCTTTCTTCTTCTGCTTTATTCTTTCTTTCTTCTTCTTCTTTTTTAAGTTTTAATGCTTCTTCTTTTTGTTTTCTTAATAACTCTATCTTCTCTTGCATTTTTTTATGTTCTTCTTCAATTCTTTTTCGTTCATCTTCTGCTTCTTTTCTTTTTCTTTCAATCTCTTGTTCTTCTTCTCTTTTAGCCTTTTCTTCTTCTTCTTTTCGTAGTTGTTCTTCTGCTTCACGTGCTTCTTCTTCTTTTCGTTTTCTTTCTTCTTGTTCCTTTTTAATTTTTTCTTCTTCTTCTTTAGCTAATCTCAATTTCTCAAGTAAAGCCTCATGTTCCTTTTTAATTTTTTCTTCTTCTTCTTCTTTCTCTTTTCTCCTTTTCTCTTCTTCTTCTTTTTGAATTCTTTCATTCTCTTCCTTTCTTTTTCTTTCTTCTTCCTCCTTTATTATTCGTTCCTCTTCTTCTTTTGCTTTTCTAATTTTTTCTTGTTCAATACGTTCAGCCTCTTTCCTTAGTAATTCTTCATGCTCTTTTTGTAGTCGTTCTTCTTCAGCCTTTCTTTCTTTTTCTTTTCGTTCAGCCTCTTGTCTAGCAATAAGCTCTTCTTCTTCTTTCTTTTTTCTCTCTTGTTCTTTTTTGATTCGTTCTTCTTCTTCTTTTTTCTTTTTTTCTTCTTCGATCCTACGTTGTTCTTCTTCAATCCTTTTTCTTTCTTCTTCAAGTCGTTTCTTTTCTTCTTCAAGTCGTTTTCTTTCTTCTGCAGCTTTTCTCTTTGCTTCTTCAATTTGGCGTTGACGTTCTTCTTCTTTTCTTTTGAGATTTTCTTCTTCTTCTTTTCTCTTTCTTTCTTCTTCAAGTCGTCGTTCTTCTTCTTTTCTCTTTCTTTCTTCCTCCTCTCTTTTTCTTCTCTCTTCCTCTTCTTTTCTTCTTCGTTCTTCTTCTTCAACCATTTTCTTTAACTCTTCTTCTCTTCTCTTCTTTTCTTCTTCAATTCTTCGTTGGACTTCTCTGTCTTCATCATCCATATCATCCAAAAAGAATGCAATGGGAATAGGACTAGGATTCAAATGTCCATTCTCATCAAATAACGGACTATTTCCTTGAGCCATTTCAAATCTTGGTGTGTGTAGTCCATCTTTATTAGACTCTTCCATTTCTTTTTTCATAGCTAATTCCATAACTTTTTGTCGTTGTTTAGACTTACCATAAATACTCTTTTCTGAACTTTGATCACTCAATTTTCTCAAACTTAATAAGTCAACTTTTTCATCTAAGATAGGACTTGTTGTACATTTAACTTGTCGACTAAATCCATCTTTTCTTGTTGAGTCAAATTTATCAATAAAAGCATTTCTTTGAATAGCCCATTTTTTAAACATTTCACTAACTTCTTTAACATTGTCCCATTTAACTAATAAACTTGCATTTTCACTAGCATTATTCTCAATGACTCCTTTTAGTTCCACAGGCTCTTCTTTAATATAGTCAGTTATATCAACAATATCATAAATTCTTTTATAAATTTCTTTTCTTTCTTTTCTCCATTTTTCTCTTTTTTGTTTAAACTCTTCAACAATTCTTAGCTCTTCTTCTTTTAACTTCTTTTCAATCTCAACTTTTGCCTCACTTAATTCAACTATTTTCTTTTTTCTGTCAAGTTCTTCTTGTTTTTTCATATTTTCTCTTTTTTTAACTTTCTCAACTTCTTGTTTTCTTAATTCAAGAACAGGGTCAAATCGTTTAACATGTTGGAGATGGTTATCTGCTAATTCTCGTTCTATTTCTTCTTGATTAACTAATTTTGGAAGAACTGTTTTTTCTGTAAGAGGTGGTGTTGGCTCTTTTTCAACACTTTCTACAAATTTAGCAATTTCTTCTCTCTTTTTTCTACGCTCTTCTTCATATTTTTTATGAATATCATCACAAATCTCTTTATCTCTTTGATTTAATACTTCAATAGGTTTGTTACCAATACCTTCTTTGGTTTGTAGTGCAACTTTACTTTTTCCTTTTGCCTCTCCTAGTTTTTTTCTTCTTGAATTAATTTCTTTCAGTTTATTGTCAATATCAATATCTTTACTTTTTAATTTAATTTCTTCATCATTTTGTTGTTGTTTAACGTCTAAGTATTGTTCAGATATACGGTCCAATTTTGCTTCTTGCATTCTTTTTTCATGTTTTTTACTATCAACTTCAATTTCAATTGCATCTTTTTCTTTTCTTAATTGTTTGCTTTTTTCTCTAGCTTTTTTTCTATCTTTATTAAGATTTCTTTTACTTCTTTCTTCAGCTTTCTTTTCTCTTGATAAGTCTCGAGTTATTTTACTTTCCATTTGTTGTAATAAAATTTTGGATCTTTCTACAAATTGATCTAATTCTTCACTTGCAGCTTGTTGTTCCAGTTCAGCATCAGCATTAGCCATTTCTAATTTTCCAAGTTCATAATTAGCATCATCTATTTTATCTAATTTAGTATCTAATTGTTTTTCATTATGTTCTCTTTCTTGAATAATTGAATGAGTATCCATTTTAACAATTTTTGTTTGTGTTTGAATGTCAGATATTTGTTTTTGAATACGAGCTTGTTCTCTTTTATTATCTTTAATTCTCTTGTTTTCTTGAAGAATACTTTTTTCAACATTAAGAATCTCTTGTGAGACATCATCAATTAAACTATTAACTCTTTTTGTTTGTCGTTCTTTTTGTTGAAGTAAATCAGTTAATTCAGCTTTCTTTTGTTCCATATCATGAACTTCTCCACTTAATTTATAATTTTCATCAACTTTACTTGTATATTTTTCACTTAATTCTTCATAATGAAGGTTTTGAATTCGTTCTTCCATTCTTTTTTCTTTTTTAAGCATTTCTTGTTTCTTTCTATCAGCTTCTTTAAATTCTTTTTGAAATTCCTTTTCATTTCTAATATTATCACTTTGTAACCTTAACATTTCAAATCTTGTTGTTTGTTTTCTTTTATACGCTTCATCAATGTCTTGTTTAATCTGTTCACTTTCATCATTTAATTTTTCTTTCTCTTCTACTAATTGTGCATTATTAAGATGTTCTACTGCTGTTATTCCAGCACTTTCTTCTTGTGCCTGTTTTAACTTTTCAAGCATTTTCCTTTCTTCTTCTGCATGCTTTTCTTCAAGTTGTTTCATTTGTTGTTCACCAACAATTTTTTGTCTTTCTTTTTCTTCTAATAAACTATTGTATTCTTTGTCTTCTTTTTCTTTAGCTTCTTTAATTTTTTGTTGTTGTTGTTCTAATTCTTGTTGTTTTTTTCTTTCTTCTTCTTCTTTTGCACGTTTTTCTGCTTCAACTTTATTTATTTTATCTTGTTCCTCTCTTCGTTTTCTTTCAATCTCATCTTGTTCTTTTTTCCATTTCATTAATGCTGCAAGAAATGCAAAATTCATTTTAACAACACAATTTTGTACACTTTCAACTGATATTAATTGACATCCTATTGTACCTGATGCAGTTATAACATCTTCTAATGAATTTCCACATGGAATTCCAAGAGTACGTAGTAAGTCTCGAAAAATTATTCCATCTTGGAGGTCTGATGTATAGTTTATCATTCTTTTACTTCCTAATGTTGTGTTTACCCATTTCATTACATCTCCTTCACAATCCATTGATCCTAGTGTTTTTCTTAAATCATAGTCAATTAATTGCCATAATAAACCAAGTACTTGTGATGCAGTAGCTGCTTGTGGTTGAGTTATAGCACTTGCAGAACAAGTAACTTCAAGTCCAAATGACTTTGCCATACGAATCAATTTTTCTGCATTTTCATTCATTTGAAACAAGTTAATAGGATTCGTGTGTGGAGGGATAAAATTTTGGAAACTTTGCATATAAGTTATTAATATTATTGTTGATTTTAAACCTTCTTGTAATCCTTTTAATGTCTTTTCAATAGAAATTCCTAAACTCGTTTTTGTTTGAATAAATGCATTTAAATAACTAACAATCCCTTGCACAGCTGTACTTTCATATCTTTCAGTTTCATTCATTTCCTTCCTTCAAAAAATAAATTGTATTTAAGTTCATTTCCTTTTTTCTATTTCCTTTTATTTTCCTTCTTTTCTCTTTTCTCTTTTCGTATTTTCCTTTTTAATTTCTTTCTTTTTTGGAAAAGTAATTTTGTTATTATAAAATTTTTGGTATTATTATCGTTATATATAACTTTATTTTAAGATGTTAGTTACTTGAAATAGAAGATGAAATATTCTTAAATTAAGAGTATTGTTTAATAAGAATTCTAAATTAACATACACAAATAGTTAAATATAATTTAAAATGAAAACCAAGTTTTAGTTCTATTATTTATGGTTATTAGAACGAATTTTATACGACAAAATACAATAATAGCCTTATTTATTTTTGTTTGTCAAATAATCTTTTAAATTTAAGCACCAATTAAGAATAAGTTAAAAATACCATTCATAATAAGATTCTTTTTAATTCGTTTTCATCTAATTATTGTATTTTATAATAATGTTGTTAGTATTAGTACTTATACTCATTGTAACTTCATGGGGTTGTGCTGTTGGTGAATACTATTATAATTTTTTTCGAGGTTGTTGGGATTGTTCGGATGAAAGTTTTTGTCCTGGAGATGATGCGTTTTATCAATGTAATTGCCACTCTTGCAACAAAATAAATGGAGTGTGTAGTTCAGCATGTTTTAATGGCTATGTCAAAGATGAAATTGGTAGGTGTCAAAAATGTGCACCAGGTTATTATAAAAGCTCACAATGGGAATGTAGTGAATGTGCCAGTGGATATTATTGTCCTGGAGATGGATTTCAATATAAGGCTAATTGTTGGAATTTCAACAAAAAAACTGGTGTTTGTACTTCAGACTGTTATCCAAATTATGTCAAGTCTACTGATGGTAAATGTCAAGAATGTTCTAATTCTTACTACATGAACCAAGGAAATTGTTTGTCTTGTAACTGTAATTCATGTAATTCAACTACGGGTGTTTGTTATTCTAACTGTAATATTCGCAAGTTAACCTCAAATAATGGTTTTTGTTCATATTGTCCATCTGGAAGTTATTACGATGAAAGTATATTTGGTTTAAGTTACCGCTGTCCTGGTTGTACACAAGGTTCATATTGTCCTGGCAATGACATTAAATATTCTTGTAATTGTAGGAATTGTGACTCAAGAAATGGAAGGTGTACGAGTAATTGTTATGCCGGGTATGAAAAAGAGAGTTCAACTGGAAGGTGTATTCCTTGTCAAGAAGGATATTATTCATTAGGTGATGGAAGTCAATGTACAAAGTGTAGGTGTAGTGTTTGTGATAAAAAAGAGGGGTGTTATATTGGATGTGATCCAGGATATGGTTATGATTCAAATAAAAAACAATGTACGATATGTTCTGTAGGATCTTACTCTATTGGAGGAAAAGGTTCATGCCTGTCATGTGAAGGAAATAGTATTTCTTCTGTAGAAGGTTCATCTTCATGTAAAACTTGCCCAAAGAACCAAGTTGCTAATCTTCAGAAAACAGTTTGTGAATATTGCGTTGAAGGAAAATACTTTAGTAACGGGATGTGTTTGTCTTGTCCTGATGGAAAAATTAAAGTGGATAGAACAACAAGTAATTGTAACTCATGTAAGTCAAATGAAATTTCAAATTCTGATCATACTCAGTGTCTTGAGTGTGAAGCTGGAAAATACAAGAAAGGAAATAGTTGTGTGTATTGTGGTTTAAAAACATATTCATTAAAAGGAGCAGTTTCATGTATTGAGTGTGATAGTTCATGTTTATCTTGTGACTCAACTAATGGGAATTGTTTGACTTGTAATAAAGGGTCATATTTAAATACAAAAACACATAGATGTGAGCCATGTCCAGCTGGAACTTATTCAAATACAACAACTGCAACTTCTTGTGAGAAATGTTTAGAACAAGAGTGGTCTAATTCTGGGTCTGTTACATGCTCACAATGTCAGGCAAATTGTCAGGAATGTAATAACACAAATGGTAAATGTAAGAATTGTCCAACAGGGTATGGTTATAATTCAAAAAAAGGGTCTTGTACAATGTGTAAGGTTGGGACATATTCTACAGGAAATACTAGTAAATGTCTTTCATGTAACGCTGGTTCATTTCAACCACAAATGGGTCAGTCAAAGTGTGAATCATGTAGTGATGGCTTTTATCAAAACTCACAAAAAAGTTCAAGTTGTAAGCCATGTTCTTCTTCTTGTAGTACTTGTTCTAAAAGTACTGGAGAATGTCAGAGTTGTAAAAAAGGTTATGGACTAAGTGATGGAGTATGTCGTGAATGTCCAGCAGGAACACATAACCCAATTAAAAATACAGACGCATGTGTTAGTTGTGAAGCAGGCACTTATTCTAATTTACCTCAGCAACAAACCTGTATCGAATGTCCACAACTTTATTGGTCAAATTCTAATTCTATTTCTTGTACAGCATGTGATGAAGGATGTAGTTCATGTGATAAAAAGAATGGAAAATGTCTAACTTGTAAACCTGGATATGGAATTAATATAAACGATGGAACTTGTACTGCTTGTGCATATGGGAGCTATTCAAAAGGAGAAACTTCAGTATGTGAAATATGTAAAAATGGAACATATGCAAATCAAATAAAACAAGAAGCTTGCCAAAAATGTTCTTCCACTTGCAGTGAGTGTGATAAATCATCAGGAAATTGCATTCATTGTAAAGCAGGATATCAGTTAGAAAATGGAATTTGCAAAACTTGCCAAGAAATGACTTATTCACTTCTCAATCATGATAAATGTATTCCGTGTAATAGTTCTTGTAAACGATGTTCAAGTGTAACAGGGGAATGTACGAGTTGTCCAAATGGTGAAAAGACTGTATCAGGGAAATGTGAAAATTGTTCAACAAATGGAAATTGTGTTTTATGTTCAACTAATGCTACTGAAGAAAATAAACAATGCGTCCAATGTTCAATTGGACATTATTTAAAATCAAACAAATGTAATATTTGTAGTGAATTAGATTCAAAATGTATATCTTGTAATCCATCAGCAGAAGAGTGTATAAGTTGTTCAGGAAATAATATATTAAATGAGGAAAAAACAAAATGTGTTCCATGCAAAGAAGGAGAAGTTAAAATTAGTGAAATACAGTGTATTCCATGTTCTTCTAAAATAGAAGGATGTTCATCATGTATTTTTAATTCGATTTCGGATATTAAATGTGCAGCGTGTTATGCTCCATATGAGTTATCGAATGAACAAACAACTTGTGTTAATTGTCTTAATCAAAATATGTCATATTATGACCAAGATACAAAGAAGTGTGTCAAAAATAGTCAAGGATGTTTAAATCAGATAGGAAAGACAGAGTGCATTAGTTGTAGTTCAGATACCTATTATTTGAGAAATGGAGTTTGTTCAATATTTGATTCACAATGTACACAAAAAAGTTCAAAAGGGTGTGAAGAGTGTTCAAATCAAGTTATTCCAAATAACAACCAATGTAGTATTAATATTGAACAATGCAAATATGGGACGAGTTCAACACAAGGTATTTGTTATGTGTGTGAATTAAATTATCAAAATAATAATGGAACTTGTGAGTCAACTACAGGGAAATGTCAGTATTATCAAAATGAATATTGTTTACTTTGTAATGAGGGAAGATCAAATGGGAAACAATGTATTTCTTGTAAAAAAGGAGTAGATGTGTGTATATATTATCATAATAAAGAAATACCAATAAGATGTTCAGATGGTTATTTTCTTGATTCAAATAATGAGTGCATTGAGAAAACAACAACAATAACTTGTCAAAGTATTAATAATAGTTATTGTGTTCAATGTGGATCACATCAATATGTTAATCATGGAATTTGTAAAAATAATAATGAAGAATGTGAGATAGAAGATAAGAATGGTTGTTTAAAATGTAATGATGGAGTTTCAATTAATGGAGAATGTCTTAGTACAAGCACTTTAAATTGTAATAAAGTCAATAAAAATCAATGTTTTGAATGTAAAGAAGGTAATTATAGAAACATTAATACATGTTCACCAATTGACACATTATCTGGTGAATTAAAACAATGTAAAACATATAATGTAATATCAGAAAAATGTTTAGAATGCACTGATGAATATTTATTATATCATAATAGTAAATGTGAAATAAAACAAGAATTACGTCAAAATAAAATGAAAAAAGAAGAAGGTATTGATACATGTTTTGAACGAACAAGTAAAGGGTGTTTAAGATGTAAGTCAGGATATTATCTTGAAGATGGAGAATGTTGGGAATGTCAAGGAGAATGTTGGGAATGCTCAAGTAAGGATTATTGTACAGGATGTGATCCATATTCTTATCCTAGTAATGGAAAATGTATAAAAATGAATGATTTAGTTCAACGATGTGACCAAATGATGTCAACGTATACTGGTTGTGTCAATTGTAAAGAAGGATATTATAAAGCAGAAGATGGAAAAAATTGTAATAAGTGTGATAAATCATGTTTATCTTGTATGAAAAATAATACTTGTATACAATGTGCTGAAGATTATTTTAGATATGGATTTGAAGTATCAACACTTTGTCTTCCTCAAAATCAAATTAATAATTGTTTGAATAAAACAAAACATGGCTGTGAAAATTGTGAAGAGGGATATTACAGAACAAGTATGTATCAGTGCAAAGAATGTGGAGTCAATTGCACTAGTTGTTCAAGCAAAAATAAGTGTTTGAGTTGTATAACAGAAAATGTATTAGGCACAAATGGTAATTGTTTACATTATTCATTTATACCAAATTGTATTAATTCATCAAATTCAAGATGTTCAGAATGTTCTAAAGGATATATATTGGATGATGAGGAAACAGGATGTATTGAGAAAAAGAAAAATATTGGAATGACTATTGGTATTACAATTGGAACGTTTATAATTGTTTTAATTATTGTTATTATCATTACTATAATTATTACTATATTCTATCTTCAACACAAAAAAGAAAAGAAGAAGATGGATAATATTTGTGTCTTTGAAATGAAAAGATCTAATATTAAAATGAACGAATTTTATGGTGTAATTTGTTCTAATATAGATGAAATTAATTTCAATTCAAATGGAGATAAAATTAAAGTAAATCAAGAAACAAGGGAATTAGTTTGTATTGGGAATAATGGAAAGAATAGAATAAAAGTTCAATTCACTACACAAGATGAAAATGATAAATATAACATAAGAACTGAACCAAAGATCATTACATTAAAAAAAGGAGAAGCATGTGAATTTGAAATTTTTGTGACTCCATTTTGTACATGTACAATAGAAAATAATATAACTATAGTAGGATTAGATATTGGAACAAGTAAAGAAATTGTTGCTCCAATGAAAATTAAATTTGATACAGAACTAACAACATTACTTGATCCAGATGAATTAATAGAAGAAAAGAAAATTGGAGAAGGGTCATTTGGAATAGTTTATATTGGAAAATTTAGAGGAAATAAAGTAGCAATTAAAAAAATGAAAGAAGTTGCACAAAACAAAACAGCTATTGACGAATTTGAGAAAGAAGTATCAATGTTAGATAAGTTTAGAAGTGAATATATCATCCATTTTTATGGAGCTGTAGTGATACCAGGAAAAGTATGTATGGTAACAGAGTTTGCACAATATGGGTCATTACAAGATATGATTAATAAAAGAAAAGAAACTTTAGTTTCAATGAAAATGAAAATTAAATTTATGATAGATGCTGCAAAAGGAATTTCATATCTTCATTCAAATGGAATATTACATCGTGACATTAAACCTGATAATATTTTAGTTATTTCACTTGAAGAAAATGAACAAGTCAATTGTAAATTAACTGATTTTGGAAGTGCAAGAAATGTTAATTTAATGATGACAAATATGACATTCACAAAAGGAATTGGTTCACCAAAATACATGGCACCAGAAATATTAAATAAAGAACATTACAAAATGCCATCAGACATATATTCATTAGCAATAACAATGTATCAAACATGGAGTTGGAAAAATCCATATGATAAAGATGAAGGATCTCGATTTAAATATCCATGGAAAATTGCTGAATTTGTGACTAGTGGAAAACGATTAGAAAGAATACCAACAATCCCAGAAAAATTATACAAGATCATTGAAGAGTGTTGGAAGCCAAATCCAGAAGAAAGAATGAAAATAAACAATCTCGTTGAAGTTCTTGAACAACAATATCAAAACGAAATGAATTAGCTTATTTATTTACTTAGTGTAGCAGCTTTGTCTAAAAAGGTCTTTATTAAGATTTCTGCTTATTTACATATTACTTAATTTAGTTTACTTTATTTATTTTGGTATCTTCTTTTATTTCAAAAACATTACTTAATTTTCTAATTTTAAAACAATGAAACGTTTTATTTAGTTTCTTCTTTAATTAATATTATTACTTTAACTTTCTTTTAATAACTCGTTTTTTTTATTTGGTTACTATCTTAACTTTTTAATATTAGTTATGGTTATGACTTTATCCATTGTATCATTCTAAATAATCTTTTATTATTTCTCTTTAAATTAATACTTTTTTTTCTATTATATTTTTATATAAGAATTTGATGTATCTAATATCATTATGGTAGTTGTTATTAAATAAGTAATAAATCCTAATTCATTAGTACTATATACCATATAAAAAGTTTAATTTTATGAATATAAAACTACTAAGAATTGAAGTTTGATATTTGTTTAACTTCTATATCAATATCAATAAAAACTCATACTTTTAATGAGTATATGACAGAAAATCTTCTAATCAATTTTAACAACTTGTTAAAAAAATAAAACAATTACTTTCAACTAGATGCAACATTAATTACACAAATAAAAAAATGATAACAATTACTAGACAAAAAGAAACAACAAGAGAAATTTGATAATGATGAAGACTTAGAAGAGGATGTTGTTCCAGATCAAACTGAAGTTGATAAAACATATATTGAAGTTGATGATGACCATAGAACTAATTGGCAAAAATTTAGTGCACATTTCCTTGTATTTGGTAGAGTCTTCAGATTAAATCTCAAAGAAATTCCATGGATGATTCTTGGATTTATTGGTTCAATGATATATGGTGCTTTATTCCCAATTTTTGCTTATTTCTTAGCAGAAGCAATTTGTATGCTTGTTACTGTTTATTTAACTGGAATGTCTGATGATAGTGAAATTATGAAATACTTCTATATCTTCCTTGGCATATCTGGAGCAATGTTTATCTCAACATATTTACACAAAGCATTCTTTATGATGTCAGGAGAATTTTTGACATATAGAGTAAGAAAATTATCATTTTATGCAATTTGTAGACAAGACATAGGATGGTTTGATAAAAAAGAAAATTCAACAGGAAGACTTGCTGGAAGACTTGCAGCTGATGCAACGAAATTAAATGGAGTAACAGGAAATTTGATTGGAACAATGATTCATTGTTCATTCTCACTTATTATTGGACTTGTTCTTGGATATATCACAAATGTAAAAATATCATGGGTATCTACTATCTTTGTTCCATTAATTGTATTTAATACATATATTCAATTAAGAATTTCAGTTGGATTTGCTGGACCAGAAACAAAAATCTATGCTAATGCAGAAAATCTTATGACAGAAGTTGTTGAAAATATCAAAACAATTAAAATGTTAGCAAAAGAAGATTATTTCAAAGAAAAGTATTGTAGTTATCTTGTTAAA